GAAGAGTTGAAGCAGAGGTGGTTTGCATTTTTATTATTCATTTTAGTTTTTTTTTTATTGCAAATAGCCATCGGGCTATTTTTAGAGCTGATGGGTTATCTATTGGTGCTTGTGTATTTATCGATCTGTCGGCGAGTGGTCGAACAGGTGCTGTTCGAGAAAGAAAAAATGTGGCGCGAGCCACAGACAAATTATTATTTCGAAATTCAGGTAACACGTCTCGAATATTTTATATCGTTATATTCGAGACAAACATTCTATCCTTGTTCTTCACGAAATTTCTGCACGCTCCCGACCAAATATATCAGTCCGACTCTCAAACTCGATGTTAACACATGTAACGTGCTAAAATACAACACCTTTATTCTACGAACTAGGCAATCATGCTTACAGTCGCGCGCGACCGCCTTCAAGTGGGCGCTGTAACGCACAATAACATCCTCGTAGTCATGGAAATCATTGATTGATCCATCTACCAATCGCAAGGCGAATAAAAAGTCAACAATCAAAACAATCATTCATTGTCAATCAACTTTATGAAAAAGGAACCACGAGTTATTATTCTACGATATACACCTAACCGCCACCAAAAATAATATCCGTAGTTAGAAAAAAATGAGATTTCATAAACAGTATAATAGTCATTTCCAAAATCATGAAATCTCAAATTTTGGAGGCGCAGGAAGACCAGAATTCCTCAACCTCAAGATGAATATTTTGAGAAAAAAAAACTTGAAATCGGATCAATAATTTTTTTGATATTGAAACATAATAGTTTTATACAAAAAATTGAATATATTCAAAACTACTACTTAAGAGCTAGAATCCTACTAAATTTCAACTTCCTATCTCAATTTTTTCAAGCCTTATCGTCTTCATATCAATTTTATCACAAAAATGAAAAATGTCCATTACTGGGCGACTCGCAATAGTTAGCTAGATATATTATGGTCCGATTTAATAGATATTATCATAAGAAATATTTTGACGCCAAAAAAAGTTCATTTGATGCAGTAGTTTCCGACATATTGAGAAAAGAAAAGTTTTTCGGAATCGCTGTATCTCAAAAACGACGGGACCGATTAAGCTGAAATTTCGCCGAGAGGTGCTCCCAAACAATACCAACTATAAGCCAAAATTTCAGATTTTTATCTGTCACTTTAGCCCTTTTTCTGAGAAAATTTATTTAAAAATTCCCATAATTTTGTACGCACATACGGACGTACACACAAACATTCTCTAAAAACATCATATCTCGATATTTTATGACATTCTTTGTCATTTCCAAGCAAAATTAGAGAATCGAAGAATCGACCGATTACAAAGCTTCCATTCAGAAACAAAAAAAACTTCAAACCCATGGAAAGCAATACACAACATTTTCTAGTATTAAGAAACAACTTTTTCATCAAGACAACTTCTCGATCAAATCTCTCAAAATTGGAAATAATTTTCTGAAATTTCCCCGCGTCTCTTACTTCCCAAATGAATCTAAATCAAAGAAATCCGTAGACCACTACAAAATCCGCACGAATTGATATCACAGGGTTGAGCTCATAAAGCTAATCCTTCATTCAAGCGAACCCTTAATCCTGCTATTGCATCGCAGCGACATTTTCCTCGAGTAAGACGCATAGAACAGCATTACGGAGAATTCCACCGTTAGTTGTGCCTCGATAAATTTGCGCATCTACCCATAGGGAGTAGTTTCAATTGAGGCATGTCAATATTAGTATTCCCTGATGGCTTTTTTTCGTACTCAACCACATGTGTGAGGCGGAAAATTCAAATTAGGTGTGCACGATTTCATGTCAATATCTGGTTTTTCGTATTAATGATCCGAATGTATGATGTCACGTCGAAAATTATCCAATCTTCACCGGTACTTTTAATGTTGTTGGTTGAACGATAAAACAAATATTTGCTATTTCGTGTGATTAATATTTATTCAGCATTAGCCGTCGTTGAAATACGTTATTGAATATTGAATACGTCATTTACTTTTTAATTACTAAAAATGGCGGTTGAATTTTGTTCCGCTTCAAAACGGGAGATTCAGCTGTATTTCACTAAAATTCATCAATTCTTTAAATCTATCACTGATCAATGGACAACAATTTCTATGAACCTGTAACATTTGAACATTTTCCGGGTTTTAATGTAAGTGTAGTGTCTATTTATTATTAATTTGGAAGGAATTGAAAGATTCATTCTTGGTTTCGTGATTAATAGCTTGGTTTAATTCAGGATTCAAATAATTTTCAATTGGATTTATTATTTGAATTCAGTTTGATTTTGTTATTATTTTATAGTTGTTTTAAATTTCAATTGGAGCATTATTTTATGAAAAGAACGAGAATATTTATCACTTTAAGTTTGGATTTCCAGTGAAAACTAGCACGATAAATTGATTTAGTAACAATAGTTTGGAATACAATGACGGGGAATAAATGTTTGATATAGGGGAGGTAGGGGCAAAGCGGACCCCCGGGGCAAAGCGGACCCCTTCGAAAAAAAAAAGTGTGGGGTAAAGTGGACCCTCACATAAATTATTGAATCGAGTCGCCAGAATTATTCTAATACGTTTTATAAAGTGAAATTTACTACCTTGACTAAAAAAATATGCAATGAGGGCAAGTATAAATTTGTGTGAGCTCCTGCGGATCTAATTGTGAACAAAAAATGTGAGTTTTTGATCGACAGCGATTACATTCTATCCAATCGGTAGAACAACATGACAATGACTCCTGACAAACGGAAAATTAAAATAATTTTAAAAAAACAGAGGGTCCACTTTGCCCCAACATTAATTTTTTTTTAAATTTAATGACAGATCTTAATTGCAATTCTAATGAGATTATGATCTCCACGTGAAGTGCATTGACTCATTAGAATTTAAAAAACTAAACGATTCGCTTAGAAGGTCCGCTTTGCCCCTACCTCCCCTAAATTTGAGTTGAATTGAGGTTGATTCACTTGAGTATCTACCGAGACCGAGCAAACTATAGCCAAACACTCGCAACGTGGAGACAACAAGGCCGTTGCTCAAAACACCTCAGAGAAAGAGACGTATCATAGCATTTGTTTCTTTCACATTTGTTTTCTTTGTGGAAAATTGATTGTTTGTAAATTATTTACAGAATTTTCTGGAATTTTCTGGAATGCTCGTAATTTTTGAAAATTGCAATTGTTTTCATCAATCGTTCTCCAAAAGTAAACTTTCTAACTTTTTTTCCACGTTTTTAAAATGTTCTCTAACGATTCAATATTGAGATTCAAATTCAGACTTGCAAAGTTTAAACAATAAAATCATTGCAAAATGTGCGGAAATTTAGGGTCAAATGAGGCTTAATAAAAACTCTGATGTTCAACTACAAAAGTAGAAAGGCATTTCGCTGCAGAAAAAATAGCCCCAACTACTTGGATATCCTTAAATCCATTAAACATCCTATTTTTCATTTCAAAACAACAATACATCAAATTGTAGAATAACCTGAATGAAATTATTTGTAATTCAGACGCATCTTTTAAAATGATGCTACAGATTTATTCATCACGAATTTGTACTCAACCGTTGACTCTCATGGCGTTACCGAATATTAATCAAAATATTTGATGAATAGCATAAACTGCCACCGAAACTTTCCCAACAGTTTGTTCATACCATCTCTGTATAATCGAATCTGCGTCTCGTCTTTCACGAAACTTGTTCGATCCCATTGGGAAATATCCGTTGATACTGCGTCCACAATATGGTACAGAAACCTCGCTGATGATGGAAGACGGGGAATTCTAACCCACGAGTTCCTTGTCTGCGGTCTCGCAGGTACTGAAGTTACTAATATTCCAATGGTAGACTTCACTCGTTACAGATTGAATAGTTATTAATCACTTCGCTGTGGCATTTTCAAGTGTCAAATTACTGTTTCTACTTCTTGTTCGATAATTGCTCCAGTTTATAGCAAAGTTGGTTTAATATTACATGAGGCAGTATCCATTGTGTTTAATGAATTATACGTAATGACTCCAGGAATTTATCCGAAGTGTTTCTTACTCCTTTTACATGTTCCATCATGTATCAAAAGTCGCTCGAAAGGTCCTTTCCTCGGTCCTTTCATAATGAGCACAACTCCAACCAAAATGTTTTTATTCATATCAACGAATTTCATTTAGAATTCATTCGTATTTTTTCTAGATCTCAGCCGCAAGAAAAAGAATAATGAACTATTGAAAAAAAATAGTAGGTGATAAATCAAATCTTGTTAAAAAGTACATAAATTAAATTCCACATTTTTTCTGGATCTCATAATAAAGTGATTTGAAAAAATGATGCAGGAAATTATGGGTTTCTAAATAATTTCTCTCCATATATCATTTCATTTAAAATTCCCAGGAAATATCTACCACTGACATTGTCTGGCAATGAACATATCAATGGATATGCGAAAACTCAAATTTATGCAGCTTGTAAAATTCAAGTTCTCTAGGAATGACATCTCCTCCCCCACAATCAGCAAAAATAATCCCGTCAATAACAGCAAAATTCTCGGGAATAATGAGAAATGAAATCCATCTATGGAAATTCACCCAGAGCGCACTCAACGCCGTAGAACGAAGGAATCCACATTATTCCACAGCACCTATATTACTATCACTCAATTCCAATCTCCATGGTACCCTTCACAGACTTTCGAGAGGTAATTTGTCGGAATGTTGAGAACGATGGAATTGTGTAGACAGTGGAATGAGGAGTGTAGTTAAGTTCTCTTTAACAAGATGAAGCTCGACGATGAATGTAGACCGTAGTATCCCTTGTTAGAAAATACCTGCAGCTGTCCTACTTCATCCTTTGTCATTCTTTTCCTCAGTTGGAATTCTCGTTTCGAGGAGAGGCCATCAATTATTTTGAACGATGTCTGAAAATTACGACAATGCTTATTATGTAGAAAACTGAGAGCTGAAAATCCCTCAATAATGAGTGCAAAATTTCAATGTTTCAGCAACAACAGCAGCAAGCACAAGCCCAACAGAACTCCCAACAATCTCAACATGCTCAGTCGACACAGCAGGGACAGGCGAGCTCACCGAGCAGTTGTAATGCTGGCAAAGCAAGCCCATCACCCACTAATTCTTCATCACCTGGAGTCACTCCTAACAACAACAAAACTACTACTGAAGCCAAATTGGTTGAGTGCAGTCTGTGCCGTCGACAATTCAAAAATATACCCGCTCTCAATGGTCATATGAGACTCCACGGAGGGTACTTCAAAAAGGTAATCACTTATAATGTCAATCCGATCCTTGAAATCATTTAAATACTCGGAACTTATTGACTAAGGGGGTTCAGCGGAGTTGACTGCACTCTTTCGTGAGAAAATTTTTCAATAACTTTTCCTGAAAAACTTGACGAGTTCGTTTGTATGCAGGGAACCTTGAGGAAAATGCCCGATTAATTTTGAAGCTCGTGTGATATTACAAGTGATAATTTTTGATAATTCAATTGGTAATTTTTCATGTTAATATATATATTAAAAACAACAGATTTCCTTGTCGAATGAGCCCCTCATGGGAACTGACAGATGGATTTTGTCTCATAATTCTCTTGGCCGAAATTTGGATGGAAAAATTCTCTTCCGCACACCACTCGAGCTTCAAAAGTAATCAGGTATTTCCGTCAAGGTTCCCTGCATACAAACGAACTCGTCAAGTTTTTCAGGAAAAATTAACTCCTTCGTTTGTTTGCAAGGAACCTATCGGGGAATCCCTGATACTTTTGAAGCTCTTGTGGCATTACATACGACTATCTATATTTTATACTTTTTGGAATTCTTCGTACAGTGTATGTAAAAAAAGTGAGGTCACTAGGGGGATCAGTTCTGAATTCATCATTTACAAAAAGACACGGCTCCTAATAATTGCAATTTTTTCACCAAAATAATTCTATATTCTTCCTTGTTTTGTCAGCTACGACTTTTTTTCACTGTTTTTACGGAGCTAGTATTTTTTCCCGACATTTTGCGAAAAAATGTATATTGATTTTTTTCCTATTGAATGCACGCACGAAAAAGTTTAATAGAAAAACCTATCGAATTCGTTGGAAAATTCGATTGAATTTCTATTAACCTTTCTATTAGTTTTTGGCTGATTCTATTGACATGTTCAATAGAAAACATTCAATAGAAAAAGTCAACAGAATTCGATTTTTCTATATAACTTATTCTTTTCATATATTTTCTATAGAATTTGCTCGACTCAAATTTTCATTCTATTTTTCTTTTCTTACCATCAAGAAAATCAAACGAAATAACTTGGAAAATTTCAGCCGAAGAAATTCTATAGAAAATATCTCAATAGAATAAGTTATATAGAAAAATTGCATTCTATTGACTTTTTCTACTGAATATTTTCTATTGAACATTTCATTTTTCGTCCATGTGGTCATATGAAATTTCATAGGGGGTACTTCGAAATCATTAAAATACTCGGTATTTCAGTCATACTGGGTCAACAACTTCAATAATATTCCGCATTTGAAACGTACCACATGAATTGGTTGTTTTCAAAATTGAGGCTGTTTCTTTATTACAGTCCATTATGTAAACTTTCCGCCATCACTAACCGCGTTTTATATGCATACGCTGCCGGAAACTGATCATATATGTATATAATAAACATAAAGTGCGCGTAATGTCCACACACCATACGCGTATTTTATGCATAATTAATCAGCTACGCGTAATTAATTAATTATTTTCTGTGTTAAATTATAATTTTTCAATGACAACTATTCCAGAAATTTCTGCTGAAAGTTCAGTTGATAAAAATTTCTGACGTAGAATGTATTTGTGCAAAATTTCTGAAAAAAATTATTAAACGCTCTTCGAATTCATTCCTGTCAATCTCCAACTGCGTGCATCCACTTTGCCCCTATCTCTCTCTCTCTCTCTCTCTCTCTCTCTCTCTCTCTCTCTCTCTCTCGAGCCACCAATTTCCATTGATTCCCCCAGACCTCCTGCATGCGAATATCCAAACACATCAAACAGTGCATTCACGCCTCACCACTTCCCCAATAAAAAAACTTCAGCTTGAAAATTCTCTCCTCAACAAAGAAAAAACTCCCCCATCAAAAAAAAATATTTCTCTCTAATTATCAAAGCCCCAACGATAACAAGATTGACAATATAGCGCGCTAGAAAAGCCCCCTGTCCCCACCCCAGCGATGTTCCCCAGCGAAAGCAGAAGAAAAAACGATCAAAAACACGAGAACAAGGGAGAAAGCAAAAAAACCTGAAATGCGATAAGAGGAAGAGCGGAAAAAAAACAAGATCAGCGATTCTCCTTCGGGTTTGCTGGGGACCTCACGAGCACAGAGGGCACTGATTAAAAATGTCTTGACGAAGGTACAGCACCTCCCGATGCGACGCTCATAGAAAACTGCTGAAAAGCTCGGTAACGGAAAAGTTTTCCCTTTTATTCGTTCCCACTCCCGGAAAGGATGAGGAAAGCAGGAAAAAAACTAACGGGAGATCGGGGAAAAAAAATCGGGGGCAGGGAAGGGGGGGGGGGTGGCAAGCGCGAATGATGGAAAAAAGATCGGGAGATAAAGGCCGACAGGGTACCTAGATAGAGATTGAAACTTTGGTGGTGTAGAGGGCAAAAGAAAATACCGGAAGGGGATAGCTTGGGGTATGAAGTCTCTCGCGAGATAGAAAGATAAGGCGATGATCGAATCGAAATGAACCCATTAACAAGTTCTTTCGTTCCAGAACGTTCGAACCAATCCCACTGAGACGTTTGAAAACTGCAGTAGACTCTCCCCTCCCCGTCCGCCCAGAAGGTCCTTCTGGGTGCTGTCTTCTCGCACCTATATCCCAACCTCCGTGCAAACATTGTCTCGAGCTTTTCCTCCATTATGCAGATTGAATCTGACTGGGTTACGTTTCAAGGATTTTCTCATCACTGGGCTCTCTCATCTTGTATTATTACGAACTTATTGCGAGACAGAGCGGAGCGGAGTGATGCACCGCAGGAGTAAAAATTGGAGTTTGTAATTTATGATAATGTTTAGATTGGCAATGGATGGAATTATGGTAATGGGGTTTTGTTTGATTGGGGTTATTTGTGATGGCGTGGTTGGAGGAATCGGATTGGTCTCGTTATCAATTCAGGGGAATTGCTGTGGTTGTTTCTGAATGGAAGCTTTGGAATCGGGCAAATTTAAGTTCCCAATTTTTTGGGTTAGGGTAACTGAGTAGATCTGAAAAGTTCGAATGCGATTTTTAGGTGCACTGTTAAAAATTTTTGTCTGAATTTTTCATGCCAAATTCCGGAAATTTTTATCGTGTTCAAGTTCCACTGAAATTTCAGGGAATCTTGTCATTGAACAACCAAGTATTCCATTGATTTTCTGTTCAAATGATCTGAAAATCAATAAAATACTTGATTTTTCAGTTCAATTATTCTATGAAAATTCAGAACAATGAGGAAAATTCAGGGAAGATTTGAAAATTCATGTCATTTTGTTTCGGCATAGTCTTGTTCCACTAAGAATTTCATCAAGTTGGGAAATTTCCATCTCCCTCCCACTTAAAAATCATGAATTTTCTTGAATTCTATCTAAAACTAGAAGTTTACTGTTTTTCCCCTAAATCTGATTCAGTGTCAATTCTCTTATGAGAATTACTGTCATATTTCCCATGAATTTTCAAAAAATTTCAACCAGTGTGGTGTCTGCATGTCACGCACGAAAAAATTGAATAGAAAAATCTAGCGATTTCGCTAGACAATTCTACTGGATTTCTATGAAACTTTTCTATTAGTTTTTGGCCAGTTCTGTTGAACTGTTCAATAGAAAATATTTTATGGAAAAAGTCAATATAATTTAATTTTTCTATACAACTTGTTCCATTAAATTTTTTTATACAATTTCTTCTCCGGAGAATAAGGTTACAAGTAGCAAGAGTAAGCTTTATAAAATGTTACATTTAAGTCCTTACCGCCTCTAACCCAAGAGAAAAACTGCAGCGCATCCTTTTTCATGGAAAACTACATGGAAACTGCTGCTAAAACCGAAAGTTTGAAAATGCTCCTCCAATGAGACCCTTATGCCCGGGTTCTACTCCCCGAAGTCAGTCGTAGCAATACGCAAAGGGAAAAGGACACTTCACGTTGAGTCGTCACTGTAGACGCATCAAAATATTCAACGATCCAAAATTTAAATTCATTGCTTGGTCTCGGTAAATACTCAAGTGAATCAGTCTGAATTCAACTCAAAATCGCACATCACATCGTGATGTGATCCCCCCCCCCCC